CAAAGGATATGAACAGACATTTCTCAAAAGAAGACATTCATACAGCCAACAGACACATGAAAAAATGCTCATCATCACTGGCCATCAGAGAAATGCAAATCAAAACCACAATGAGATACCATCTCACACCAGTTAGAATGGCGATCATTAAAAAGTCAGGAAACAACATGTGCTGGAGAGGATGTGGAGAAATAGGAACACTTTTACACTGTTGGTGGGATTGTAAACTAGTTCAACCATTATGGAAAACAGTATGGCGATTCCTCAAGGATCTAGAACTAGATGTACCATATGACCCAGCCATCCCATTACTGGGTATATACCCAAAGGATTATAAATTATGCTGCTATAAAGACACATGCACACGTATGTTTATTGCGGCACTATTCACAATAGCAAAGACTTGGAATCAACCCAAGTGTCCATCAGTGACAGATTGGATTAAGAAAATGTGGCACATATACACCATGGAATACTATGCAGCCATAAAAAAGGATGAGTTTGTGTCCTTTGTAGGGACATGGATGCAGCTGGAAACCATCATTCTTAGCAAACTATCACAAGAACAGAAAACCAAACACCGCATGTTCTCACTCATAGGTGGGAACTGAACAATGAGATCACTTGGACTCAGGAAGGGGAACATCACACACGGGGCCTATCATGGGGAGGGGGGAGGGGGGAGGGATTGCACTGGGAGTTATACCTGATGTAAATGACGAGTTGATGGCTGCAGCACACCAACATGGCACAAGTATACATATGTAACAAATCTGCACATTATGCACATGTACCCTACAACTTAAAGTATAATAATAATAAATAAATTTAAAAAAAAAAGAAAACAAAGAACTCATCAAAAGCAAGCAAATGATTTGAGAAGACATTTTATAAAAGTATACAAATTATCAATAAGCACTTGAGAAGATACTGAACATTAGTAATCATTAGGATAATGCAAATTAAAGCTGCATGATATACACCCATTGGAATGAAAAAGTTAACATAGTGTTGGCAAGGTTGTGGAGTAACTGGAATGCACATACATTGCTGGTAGAAAAACAAAATTGTACAGCCACTTTTGCTAATGGTTGGTTTCATAAACATATATATTCTATACTACCTATCCATTACACTTCTGTTTGCTTACTCAAGATAAATATATATATGTGTATTACACACACACACACACACACACACACACACACACACACATATATATATATATATATATATATATATATCTCCACAAAAACGTTTGTACAGGAATGGCCATAGCAATTTGGCTACATTTTGGGAAACAACTCAAATGTCTTTTGGTGGATGAATAAATAACAAATTATGGTATATCCATAATGGACTTACTATTTACTTACTACTTAGCTACAAAAAGGAACACACTATTGATACATACAATGGCATAAATAAGTCTCAAAATCATGCTGAAAGTGTGCACATTGTATGATGTCATTTATATAAAATTTTTGAAAAATGCAACTAACCCATGTTGATGGTGAGCCAATCAGTGGTTGTCTGGGAGTGGGGTGAGAAGGAAAAGATGGATTGCCAAGGGCACAAGGACACTTTGGTGGTAATGGAAGTGTTTATTATCTTGAATGTGGTGACATAAATATATCAGAACTGATCAGACTGAAGATCGAAATGTATTTATATCTCTTTCTGTGAAAAGTCAAAAAATGTTCTTTCTTGCCTTATTTGTGTTTGTGAAAGCTATTACCTCTGTGAAGCCCCATGCCTAAATGTTCCAGATCGTTGTGTTTTCACTCTCTTTTCTGAATTTCACAAGTGTGTATTCACGTCTATCATAGACATCATCAGAGAGGAAAAACAGCTTCCTAATAATGTTTAAAGTTCTTGCATGGATATTGTCTACTTAAATTTACTACCTATTCCTGATTCAATATTTGTAATTATATTAACACATCTGTTCCTCATCTCCCACCAGGTTGTGAAGTTCTTGAGAAAAATCATCTTTGACTTGTCACCTCTTCCAGCACCTAGCACACTGATAATCATACAGTAGGGTTGTAATCAGCACTTACAGGCTGAATTGATAATACTTACAACGTTTGTAAAGCATTTTGGTGGTTTTCTGATAGAGTTTAGGCTCTTGACTTTCCTATACCACTGAGATTGCTTTATAATTGAGGTGTTGGTTTCAATAATTTTCATGACCCATAAACTTTGCAATTCCCTGGAAACATTTGGAAGAAATAATATCAGGGAATTATTTCAATCAGCACCCTCAGCGTTTACATGATAGATTTTATCCACTGTGATGCCCATCTTCCACAAAAATAATCATTTCTTGTTAAGTTTTCTGTTTGCAAAAATCATCTTACTTCTGTTGTCCCCAAATGCAGTAATTTCTGATTCTGCCATCTAAACTGCAGTATTTGCACACATAATCTCTATTCAAAAGAATATAGCACACTTTTTAAGCCATTATCTACTACTGGGGGTGTGTTTGTTATTGCTTTCTATGCCTCTATTGTCTCCTCAACTAGGAATCTATAACACAAAATCCTGCAAAGCTTTTGTGAGAAATGTCATAAAGGAATGTGTTACTATAGAAGATGTGAAAATTCCATTTGGACTTATTTACCAATTGAGAGAGATATTCAAGGTAGGGACAATATTATCAGCAAAGACTACACTGCAAATAGTAATAGGGATTTTTTTTTTTTTAGCTTTTTCTTCAAAAACAGAAATCTAATAGAAAACAGTTTTGCAGTATAAGTGTATAAATATAACCAGTTTTGTGCTAGGTTTTCCACTGCTATTACAATGTTGCCCATTAAGTATGTTTATGGAGTACTCAATGACAAGAAAATAGTTTGATGGACATATCCCACATAATGAGATTTTTCTGAAATTGTAGTTTTACTTCAAGTACGAGTCTGGAAATATCTAAAACAATATTTCTAGATGAAAGGAGTGAATCTAAGGGAATTAATGGAGACTCATTTAACCTTTAATGTCCCAAGAAGTAACAGCATTTTGGAGGAAAAAAAAGAAGAAAAAAATTAATTCCAAACTAATGGCCATTATTATTTACAAATATACATATATAGAATTTTGCAAATAGAGCTTCCCAAAGGTTATTATGCTACCTGGATAAAACATCTAAAATTTCTTCATTTGTGGTAAATTTAAGTGAAGGCCTGAACATTATCTACCTACCTACGTATCTCCTAAATCCTAAGTGAAATGACCAAAATATATATAAAAATAGAGGAAATCTGTATAACACATTTAGTCAACTCCAGTCTAAATCTCCTACATCTCAAATGAAATTGAGCCTGTCAATGTCACAAAGCACTTCCATGATTCTAGACTCAAGGTCTGGAATCTTTATTTTCTAGTTCATCTATTCTGCAGTTTTAGACACAAAGGACTCCTCCTCTTCTTGCTTACTCACCATGTTCTTTTCAGTCTTCTTTGCAACTACTTCTCTTCCTGAAATCTTCAATGTCAAAGTATCACTGGACTCAGTTCCTCCTTATTCACTTCTATATGGGCACACATTTTTGATATCATTTTATCCAATCTCTTGGCTTTACATAGATTCTATTTACTGATGAATTCCAAATCCACGACTCTAAACCTGACATCTTCCTTAAGCCCAAAGCTTGTCTTTTCAACCACCTACATAACATATCCACTTAGACATTGTATTTTTTGACTTAGGCTAAGTTATGATACAGTAACTAAGAACTCCCAAATCTTAGCACATTACACCAAAAGTTTATTTATGCCCTCATGAAGTATTGGCTCCTTGTGAGCTGAAGATTCCTGATCCATGTGTCTTTTTCACCCTTGAATCCAGATTGAAGGTTTCATGGCAGAGGGGAAAGAAGAATGGGAAGACTGCACAATGACTCTTAAAACCTTTACCAGGGGTGGCATGTATCACTTCTACTCATGTTTCGTCAGGCCGAGAAAATCATGTGGTCGAGCTTGATATCAGTGTGACAGGAGAATATAATCTTCCACAGAGAATGCCAGCAAAAAATTGAGAATAATAATATAATTTGGCACAAATGTTTGGTAACCTCAAAGTTAACATGTCCAAAATTTAAATACTACTTTTTCTTCAGAAGACATCCTCCCTTCTAATCCTTCTTATCGCTCCAATATATCTCCATCCATTAACTTGGCACAGCAAGAGATCTTAGAGGAAAGAGTAATTTTTTTTCTCTGCCCATCATCCAATCCATTGTTAAATCTTAGCACTTCAACAGATGTGTCAAAAATCCAATTCTTTCCCTCACCAGTATTATCATATCAGTCTAAACCACCATCTCTTCTCTCCCAGGATTACAACTGTAGATACCTAACCATGTCGTACTATAACCTATTTACCATAAAACATCCAGTATTTTCTCTTTGAAATATAAATTGAATGACATCACACCAATATATTAAATCCTGCAATGACTTCCCATCACACTGATAATAACATCTAACTTCTTCAAGTTGACTGCAGGGCCCTATGGACTTGATTCATCTATCCCCTTACCTCAGGTGAATCCATTTTCTGTTTGTTCACTGGACTGCATTTATACCAGCCTTGGCTTCTACAGCATGCCCAACTCTTTCTCACCTCTGAGAGAGAGTCTACAAGTGTTGATAATCTATTCTTGCCATCTGGACTACTCTTCTGCCATACAGTTCTCAAATGAAATCTTACCTCTTTAAGAGGCTTTCTCTGACCACCTTATCTCAATTAAAAAAAGTAATCCTTTACCCTAGTGGCAATCTATCCTGTATCATAGCAATATTAGTCATACAATTAGTCAATCTTGTTTGTATACTTGTTAATCAGTTTATTGTTTGCTTCTAAAGCTGTAGCATAAATCCCATGAGGACAAAACCATGTTTTGTTGTTGCGGCTGTTGTTCTCTCATACCAGCTGTATAGTAGATTCACTAAATATTTGTTAAATAAATGACATGATTTTTCAAAAATCTTTGCAGGATCTCTGCAGATAAAACCAAGGTGAAGGAAGAAACCAAAGACCAAGGAAGGTGAAGGAAGAAAGCAAAAAATATCTTTGTGGTGAAAAAAAGCGTTTTCTTAGGAAGTGGAGAAATCTAGCAGAAACCCAGTAATACCATTGAGAGATGCTGGTTGAAGGTAAGAGATAGACATAGAAGGAAACGGGAAAACTATACATAAATTACCTCTTTTACCTCTACATTATGATCATTCACAAAATAAATATATCCAGGAATTGGGAGGGTAAGTAAAGCCATTGAGATTACTCTGTGTATTATAATGTTAATAACAAAAATACAATAAGGTATTAGTTAACATTTTAGGAGAACTTACTATTCTAAGCATTTAAATATATTAATTCAATTTTTAAAACCCCACTGTGTTTTTCCTGTTTTAGATTAAAAATCAAAAGTAGAAACGAATACCAATATTTAATCTAAAATGGGAGAGAAATAGCTCAGTTGGTTAGAGCATGGTGGTAATAAAATGAAATAAACACAGTCTTTTTAAGATCACATACATCTAGTAAGTAGCAGTACCACGATTTGAAATGACATTTTCTGAACCAGCATCTTAAATACTATTCATTTCTCTACAATGTGTGTCCTCCAACATTGTCCTGTCTTGGATGTGATCTCAAGCTGGATCTCTTTAGTAACCTGGAAGAACATATGTGGAGTGGGGGTGGAAAGAGTTTTCTTTCTGCACTAGTAGCGTATCCAGTCACCTCCTCCCAGGTTCCTCCCTCAACATGGGGGTATTACAATTCAAGAGGAAATTTGGGTGAGGACACAGAGCCAAACCATATCATTCTGCCCCTGGCCCCTCCCATGTCTCATACCTTTTTCACATTTTAAAACCAATCATGCTTTCCCAATAGTCCCTCAAAGTCTTATCATTCCAGCATTAACTCAAAAGTTCAAGTCTGATGTCTCATCTGAGACAAGGCAAGTCTCTCCAGCCTATGAGCCTGTAAAATTAAAAACAAGTTAGTCACCTCTGAAATACAATGGAGGTACAGCATTTGGTAAATGTTACCATTCCAAATGGGAGAAACTGCCCAAAACCAAGGGGCCACAGATCTCATGCAAGTCAGAAAACTTATTGGCAGGGAACTTATGAAATCTTAAAGCTCCAAAATAATCTCCTTTGACTCCATGTCTCACTTCCAGGACACACTGATACAAAGGGTGAGCTCCCAAGGCCTTGGGCAGCTCTGCCCCTATGCATGGTGTGGCCCATGCGGCTGCTTTCATGGGTTGGCGTTGAGTGCCTGTGGCCTTTCCAGGTGGATCTATCATTCTGGGGTCTGGAGGAGGATGGCCCTCTGCTCACATCTCCACTAGATGGTGCCCCAGTGGGGACTCTGTGGAGACTTCAACCTTATATTTCTCCTTTGCACTGCCCTAGGAGAGGTTCTCCATGAGGGCTCTGTCTCTGCAGCAGACTTCTCCCTGGACATCCAGGTGTTTCTGTACATTCTTTGAAATCTAGATGGAGGTTTCCAAACCTCAACTCTTCTGCACACCCACAGGCCCAACACCATGTGAAAGCCACCAAGGCTTGTGGCTTACACCCTCTGAAGCAATGGCCTGAGGTGTACCTTGGCCCCTTTTAGCCACAACTGGAGCTGGAGCAGCTGGGATGCAGGATGCCATGTCCCAGGACTGCACAGAGCAGTGGGGTCCTGGGCCTGGCCCATTTTTTCCCTCCTAGGCTTCCAGGCCTGTGATGGGAGGGGTTGCCAGGAAGGTCTCTGACAGGACCTGGAGACATTTTCCCTATTATCTTGGTTATTAACATTCTTCTTCTTGTTACTTATGCAAATTTCTGCAGCCAACTTGAATTCCTCAAACAGAAAATGGGTTTTTCTTTTCTACCACATGGTTAGGCTGCAAATTTTCCACACTTTTATGTTCTACTTCCCTTTTAAACATAAGTTCCAATTTCAAACCATCTCTTTTGTGAATGCATATGACTCTCAGAATCAGTCAGTTTCTCTCTTGAATGCTTTGCTGCTTAAAGGTTTTTTCTGCCAGATACCCTAAATCATCTCTCTCAAGTTCAAAGTTCGACGGATCTCTAGGGCAGAGCAAAATGCTGCCAGTCTCTTGGCTAAAGCATAGCATGAATGACCTTTACTGCAGTTTCCCATAAGTTCCTCATCTGCATCTGAACCTCAGCCTGGACTTCATTGTCCCTATCAGTATCAGCATTTTGGTCAAAACCATTGAAATAGTCTCTAGGAATTCCAAACTTTCTCTCATCTTACTGTGTTCTGAGTTCTCCAACTTGTTCCAACCTCTGCTGATTACCCAGTTCCAAAGACATATCTACGTTTTCAGGTTATCTTTATAGTAGTATCCCACTCCTGGAACCAATTTCCTGTATTAGTCCATTTTCATACTGCTATAAAGATACTACATGAGACTGGGTAATTTATAAACAAAAGAGGTTTAATTGACTCACAGTTGCACATGACTGGGGAGGCCTCAGGAAACTTACAATCATGGCAGAAGGGGAAGCAAGTCACATCTTACATGGTGGCAGGAGAGAGAGAGAGAGAGAGAGAGAGAGAGAGAGCAGGGAAAACTGCTACTTTTAAACCAGTAGATCTTGTGAGAACTCTCTCACTATTGTAAGAACAGCATGGGGAAAACTGCCCATGATCCAGTCACCTCCCACCAGGTCTCTCTCTCAACAAGTGGGGATTACAATTTGAGATGAGATTTGGGTGAGGACACAGAACAAAACTGTATCATCTGTCAACCCTCTAAGCTGACTCAGAAGGCTCATTAACATCCTAAGGCACTGAGATACTGCTTGTCCACAAGACTCCAGAAATATGTCAATGCTGTGGACAGTCAGTAGGTAATATGGTGGCTGTTGTTGATGGGATGTCCTTATCCAATGTCAGTGAGCAGAGGACTAACAAGGCTTCGTATCCTTAGTGATATAGGCTGCTCTTTCAAATAGAGACTGAAAGAAACACAGATGCAGGCTTAAGTCCTTGCTGCAGACTACCACCACTTGTCTCACACAAACAGGCATACGCAGAAAGAGAGGCAGACAGAGATGAGAGAGGAGAGACAGACACACAAAGGCAGAAAGACACAACAACTACTTTTCCTTTACTTGGCAATCAATTTTACATAAAGGATCATAATAGCTTTAAGATGTTGAACACATTTTCTCAAGAGAGGTATTAAGGAATTGTCCATTTTTGAAGTATTCTTTTACAATTAAAAACCTAAGATTCATTTGGAAAAACTGCATTTATTTACAACATTAAGATTAACATCTACTCTCACATGTTTATGCATTATTTTTCAGAATTTGGTATCAAGATTATGTTACTTTTGTAACGTAACTTGGAAATACTTCCATTGCTTCCAAAACTGTATAGCCATATATAAAGGAAGGAAAGTTTGTGTTTCCTGAAAGTTCATGAAAAAAGAGACCCTAAAATCTTCTCAGTCCAATTCTTTTTATTGAGTCAATGATTTTAAAATAATTTTCCCTTTATAGTTTTTATGCTTTTATATCCTTTGAGAACTTGTATATCCCTAAAATGTTACACTTTACCTCTACATTTTTATAGTAAATAATTGACATTAGTTTTCTATCATATTTAAAAATCTGACCTACAGTAATCCATCAAAGATATATTGAGGCCTGTTATCTCCCAGGACTGATCTGAGGTCTGGATATATAACAGCAAATGAAGTAAAAATTCTCATAGTCATGGAGCACACATTTTGATGTAATTTAAGTCTGTTTCTAATATTCACGATTTATGTATTTTATTTTTTAATTCGCTTCAATCAAGATTTATCAATTTTTATTAATATATTGATATGCTGAACCTTGTAATATATATAACTTTTACAGCCTATGTTTCTAATTCATCAAGGTGTAATTGTTATTGATAATTGAGAGACAGGCCTAGCTGGATTTCTTAGGTGGACTAAGAATTCCTAAGCCTAACTGGGAAAGATAATAACACCTTTGTCTGTATACTTGAGCTTGTTTCATTGTTTCTTGTTTTCTGAGCTGAGACAAAAGGCCAATCTTTCCTTCCACCTTTCTCTTTTTCTGTTTTTCCTCTCTCTCTGGCTGCACTCCTTGCTTTCTTCTTGCTATATTTGTAGGTAAAAGCATACTAATGGCCTTCTTATTATCCTTTTAAATAAAACAAAATTGTTGTTTAAAGATTTAAATAAGAAAAATTTGAAATAACAATTTAAAAAGAAAATAAGAAGGCCATTAGTATGCTTTTACATGCAAATATAGCTCTATTACAAATACTTTGGAGTTGTGCCCATTAAGTTGATATTTTAGACAGTTTATAATTCACAATTTGTTTTCCCCCTTCCCTCAAAATTTTGTTATGATTCACTTTGTTTTTATGGGGGAAATATTTACAATTTTCTGAATGATTAGATTTTTAATTTGCTATTTCTAGCAGGGTCGTTCTTTTAACATTCTATTGGCATTTTTCCAAGAAGACGTAATCTGTACTATTTTGACTCTTAGAACGTACTAAAGGTTTTTATTATGAAGAAACCATAAATATATGAAAAGACTTTTATAAATTGAGAGATTTCTATTATTTTTAAAAACTAAACGCATATTTTTTCCCTTGGATATTTTTAACATTGAGGAGTCAGTGTAAAATTTGGGGATTTTCTTGTATCTCTATTAACTTTTCTTTCCATTTTATATGCATTTTGTTTTGAAAAAATAGCCAATATATATTATAGATTATATCTCAATACTTCAGTCTCTGCCATCATTATTAATAGATGTTCATCTTTGTCATTTTTGCTACAAGCCTTTTTTTAAAGAAAGAAAACATTTCAGTAAAATGGTTTTCTTTTTTACATGAAGCAAATCCCCTTAGGCACCTACCTGCACCTTCACCTTCTCTCCACCTGCAAGGTCTCTGCTGCTGCTAAGTCAGTCAATCACTACTAATATTTTGGTTGGTATTCTTGTGGTCCACCTTTTTGTGTGTGCCTTGCAGACATATTTATATAAACTTGGATTAATATTTTAAATTTAGATAAATGCTGTGATACTCTACAATCTTGCTTTATTGCACCTTGCTTTATTCACTTAATTTTATAATTTTTGAG